GAGTACCTATCTTCGCGAGTAAAAAATGCTTAAAAATAAGATAAAAATAAATTATTTCGACAATGAAATGCAATTTATAAATTTTTTTTGTTTGTTTTTTTTTTTCCGAAGTTGACAATTATTGCGCGCCAACGTTTTTAAAATGACGTAATTTATTAATTTACATTACAAGCTTTAAAAATTATTATTTTATCGATAAAATATTTAAAAAAAAAAAATCTGTATGTGTTTTTTTTTTTTTTTTTTTTTACCTTAATTTTGTACGTTGATGGTTTGAAAATGTTAAAGCCATCCTCCTTTTTCTTCAATTTATTTTTATTTAGAAAAAAAAACTCTTCATAATTACCACGTGGCTAGAAATCCTGGATTTGGCTTTTGCCAAGGAAAACACCAAGAAAAAAAAATCTTCAACACTTTGTCTTTGAAAAATCCCCAAAATAGTCTGGTTTAATTAAATAAATGTTTAATTAAGTAAACTTTTTTTTTCTTCATTAAACTTTGAAATGTAATAAACTAAAAAGAAAAATAAGTCTTTCTTTTTATAGGAATTTTTTTTCCTGTGTAGTGTAACAAACTTATACAAAAAAAACATTTGATGCTATTGTTAATTTTTAGTTTTCTTCAAATCTTACGATTTAGTTTTTAAAACCTTTAAAATGTTTTCCGTGTTTTGGTTAAAAAGATTTTTTTTTAAATTAGAACGTTTGTTTTGTTTTGTTTTTGTTTTTTGTTGTTGTTGTTTAACTTAAATCAGGAAGGTGACATTTATGGTCATCAGAAATAAAAACAAAAGGATGTTTTGTTAGTGTCGCTGGTGGAAAAATAACTTCGATTTATTTGTTTGTGATTTCTTAAAATGTCATAAATCTTTTCATTTAAAATAAGTACCCTTTTTTATTTTATTTTTTTTTTTTTAATTCACTTAAAAACTTAGTCATAAAAAGCAATATTTTATTTGAAACCCTATTTATTTACAATGCAAGTCAACGTTTTTCACAATAAAATTGGTTTCCCAATCGATGTTGGTAACTATTTTAAAATACACACTGACTAAAAATTAAGTTATTTTATTTTAAAATTTAAAATAAATTAATTTAGTGTGTAAATGTCGTCTAAGGAACAAAAATAGAAATGATTTTGTTTTGAGGTTTTTCAATCATTTATATTCACAAATAAAATAACTCCATGGAAATATAGATTTTTATTTCTTGATTTTTGCTTGAATAAATCATAAATCATTTAATAATATTTTTCATTTTGCAATGTTGTTTAGCCTACTTAAGCTTCTTTTTTTTTTTTTTTTTTTTTGTATTTCCTTTTGTTAGCTTTTCTACTGCGTCAACTTTAACGTTACTTACAGCAGTTTTTATTGTACTCCAGATATCCTTTGAATCATTTAAACGATTAATTACAAGTTTTCTTATCAGAGCTGTTTCCATTAATCAGGGTGAATGTTCGCCATCAGCATGGCTGCTTATTTTCGAGCAGGTCCATCTATGTTTCTTCAACAGCTCTGTGGTTTACACTGCAATTATATTCAGAGCGGATCTTAGTTCAAGTATGTGCCCCACTAGGGCCTCATACGGTTTTGAATCCAGCTGTTTTTTGTTTTGTTTTTTTTCTCCTAAACTGGTTGGCAACCACGACTTAAGAGCCCGGTCTGTTCTGCTATTTTTAACCCATAGCTGGGCAATAGTCCATTTTTCTGTATAAAGTTTAACAATTGTACTCGCAAAAACAAAGAAAAACTCAAAAGGACGGTTTTTCTCTTGACACTGTAATTACTGTATAATCCCAACTCAACAATATTTATTTTTCTAAAAAAAATTTTAGAATTTTAATTAAATCCAAACATAAAACTGATTTATATAAATTATTTATTTAAAAATGATTCCAACACGCTACATCAGAGTTCTCATGTTTCAAAACACGAGCCGAAAACTTCAATATAATTATTTTAATTAAATTACTAAGCTCTGTTCCATCTTCAAGCGAAATTTTTTCCAAAAAAAAATTTCACTTGAAAATGGAACAGAGCTTAGTATTTTAATTCAATTTAATTCAAATAATTATATTGAAGTTTTCGAAACATGAGAACTCTGATGTAGCGTGTTGAATCATATTTTTAAATAAATAATTATATTTATGCTCTACTTTTGTATCGAAAGCACTATTTTTAAAAATAATAACAAAAATACTAAAGAACTTTGGATTATTTACCTAACGAGTTCTTTCCTATTTTCTATATATTTTTCACACACACACACACACATATATATATATATATATATATATATATATATATATATATTATAAAAAATTTCTTAAAGAATTTACAACTAATATGTTAAGTGTTTAATGTATAATAGATTATTTACAATAATAATTTTATGGTTTGTTTTGTTTTACAGCATATCAACCTCAATGGGTTATTTAATGCTGACAAAATTTTTATTAATGGTAATTTTTTTTTTTTTTTTTTTTTTACACTTTCATAGTATTTTGACCTCAGTTTAAGGGTTAACTGTTTGCCCATAGCTGGGACCCTGACAGGTGCTACCATCCCAGGTCAGGGTGGACCTGGGAACACCAGCAATTAAGAGGTGATTCCATGCTCCTCAAATCCTCTTGATCAGAGGCCTTGCTGTTGTACGTAAGTCTCTTTCTTAACATTCAGCACTCTGCATCATTTATAATTATTACTTTCCCTTCAAAATCTAGTCTTTTATATATTAGTTTTATATATTTGAAATTGCAGTAGCCTGTCTTTCAATGTCAGTCAAGATTGTTTTAGGTGTTGCCATAGAAGGACATGACTGCACAACCAAGAAATTCAAATTCAACTTGCATTGGCAGAATTAACATTTAGCTTGGCAAAAATAATCACCTACAGTGTGCTAAAGGTTAAAAAAAAAAATCTCTTTAAAAAAAAATACTGTCCTGAAACTTTGAGGGATATTAGCTGATTAACAGTTTAATTAATCTGATTTGAAACAAGTATTACTTTTAGTTTAAAATAAAGTGCAACCTCAGTTCTCAAATGTCTCACATGTCAAACAAATCAGTTTTTGAACAAAATTTTGGTTCTCTAACAACATTGCCGAACCAATTTATTCCAAACAGAATAATCTCTGAGTCAACTGCCGTGTTGTATATATGTGTTGTGCTGTGTTTTCTTTTCTGATTTTATTATACTGTGATATTTTTTTTCTTTATATTGATTCCGAATAGAAAAATAGTTTTGGCTTACAAACATTTCAGGTTGTGAATGACATTCAGGAACGAATTAAATTTGGGAATCAAGATTCCACTGTACTGCAAAAATGATTGATTTTTTTTTTCTTTTCTTTTTTAATTTTTTTAAAATATCGAGTTAGAAGCTTATCTAAGGTGTTGACTGCTTGACTATCAGCTGTAAGTTTAAGTAGGTGGGTAGCATATCTGTAATAAGTACTTGATGGATAAAACATGAGCACATTTTTTAATATAATTTTTAACTACCCAGTAACCTTAAAAAGTCAGGAAAATATTCTTCATAATCTAATATTTTATTGAATTTTTATTTAAATTTATGGTAGTTACTGTTCTTATTTTCTGATAATGTCTTGACATTTTTATTTACAAAAATTGGAATGTTCATTCATACACAAAAAAAATTCTAAATTTTTTAAATATTGGTCGGTGGGGACATGGAATTGTAGTAAGCTTCTCCATTTGTGATTAGTAAATTTTTTTAAGTTTTTACTTAAAAAAAAAAAAAATTAAAAAATCACCTAACCAGTACAAATTTTAAAAGATTTAAAACTTTATAAATTATTTTAATTAAAACTTTAAAAAAAAATGAAAAAAAAAAAAATGGAAACCATTGTAATAAATAAATTCATTATTCATTAAAAAAAAATTTTTTAAAACAATGTCCATAATAAATCTTGTTCATAAAAGCTTTTCTAATTAAATAATATTTTGCATTTTTATTTTACGATTCAGAGCAGATGTTTGGTAACTGGTTTTGGTTTCAGTTGTACAAAAAAAAAAATTATGAATATTTCCAAATTAGAATATTTCCAAATTAGTGTGTTTTTTTTTATTTCACAAAAATTCCACGTGCCATGTTTGATGGATGTCACTTAAAATGTGCCATTCTTCCTAAAATAATAAGGCAGTGGAAATTTTCTTTAACTCGATCTACTGATGCAACATGGCAAAAAACGACCCCAGCGATTTAAACAAATTTTGGTATTTTTAGTGCCAAAACAAAAAGACACTAAAATTTCCTAAAATAATCTTTGGTCGCTCTACTGATGCAAGAAAAACGAGATTTAAACAAAATTTTGGTATTTCTAAAAAGGGTAAAAAAACTATAATTTACTAATCAAAAAAATCTTTTGGTCTTTCCACTTGATAACTTAATAGCATAAAGATTTGACAATAAAACTTTGTTTTTATTTTCAGGTTTTTTTTTTTTTTTTTTTTTTTTTTTTTTTTTAGTGAATCTGGAGGTACTTTCTCTTCCTAACTTTATATTCACCATGACATCAAGCAGATTTCACTTTTGTTTATCATAATTGTCAGTTAGGAAAACTTTATTTCTATGAACATCCATAAAGTTTGAGTTAATTGCTTTGGCTGTGTTTGCCTATTCACGGCATTGAGAGCAGCGTAATAAAGGCAGACAAAACAACAGCAGTTTGCCTGTCTGAATTTCTAAGTTGTTATCATTGTTGACATTTAGACTAATATCCTCATCTTTATTATTATCATTGCATTTTGGCTATTGTGCTTGCTGGCCTTCTTCAGGTCGTTGTCAATACAGGTAACCTGAAGAGAATTTTGAATTGAGATTATAATAGGTTATGAAAATCTCTTCAAATGACCTAGCGTAGAAATAAGTACCATATGGGAGTCATTAATAAAGAGAGTCAAGCTTGACAGCAAGAGGCTGCAGCAGAAGACATGCTATAAAATTTACAATTCCCAGTTCTAGATTTGGGAGTATGGCTTCGGCTATATCGCATTGAAACCCCAGTTCCCATACGATTGTTGAAGGTAAGCAACAACGAGCTTGGTCAGTACCTAGATGGGTGACTGCTTGGGAATTCCAGGTGTTGTAAGTTTGGATGAACAGGTGGAAAAATGGATAATGGCTCTGAATTGTTAATTGGAGTCCCAGCTCCAGTTTTAGTTCTTTAATATAACTCATATCAATGTTTGTGTTTCTGGAATTAAAAACAGATATTGATACCTGTTTGGTAATGTTTAACCTTTTGTACCTACTAAAAAAATAAATAAATAAAAAATCCTATCAAAAATATGTTTATTCCCTTGACACTGCTATCACTCTATAGACGCTTCACTCACTTGGCAATATTTATTTACAAGATTTTAAAACTATGCAAACCAACTTCAATGTACATCCTGGGTATGACGTTAAACTGCATCCAACAGCAAGAGGTTTCGAGGAGCGTAAAACCACCTCTTAATTGCTGGTGTTCACAGGTCCACCTTAACCCGGGGTGGTAGCACCTGTTAGGGTCCCAGCTATGGGCAAATAGTTAACTCCTAGTTTTTCCAGCTCTTACCCGTGTCCTGGGTATGACGATAAGCTACACCCAACAGCAAGACCTCAGATAATGTTTTCAGAAAAATGATGTTGCCATCTATATGTTTTTGGAAACCATGATGTTGCCATCTATACGTTTTTTTGGAAGCAGTGGTGTTGCCATCTATACGTTTTTTTTTTTTTTTTTTTTTTTTTTGAAGCAATAATGTTGCCATCTATACGTTTTTTGGAAACAATGTTGCCAGCTATTTGTTTTTGAAAAAGTAATGTTGCCAGTTATACGTTTAATAGTACTGTATATTTAATATATATATATATATATATATATATATATATATATATATATATATATATATATATATATATATATATATATATATATATATATATATATATATATATATAATTTGGCATTAAATGACCTACAGTGGTTGACATGCCATAAAACCCAACCAACTTCAATGTAATAAAATTTACACACATTTTATAATTATACACAAGGAAAACTTTGTCTACCCAATGAATAAGGAGATTATTCAAAATAATGTGTGGTTTTGCCTAAAATTAAAAGAATGTTTGGTCCAGAGGAAAAGATACTCTCAATTTATTCTAATAAATTTATGTGGCAAGAGCAAATGGAATAATTGCTTGGAAAATGGATTTTTTCATAAATAGTTACCCATTGTTATGTATTTATTTAAATTTTCTTGTTCTCAGACATTTTTATAAATTTACTAGCTGGATTACCCACACCTTGCTGCATGTCCAGTTTTTTTTTTTTTTTTTTTTATTTTTTTTAAGAAAATGAAAATTGATTTTAAATATGTTATAATTTGTAAGGACAAATGATGCATTTCAATATTGCTCAATGATCTTGTCAATGTCACCTCCGTCTTCTGGATTTCTCCTATATTTTGGATAGGAGTTATTCCCTTGTCCAAATTTAAATTTAATTTAAATCAAAGGGTAAAAAAAAAATTTCAGTGGGGGTGGGGCCTCTTGGGACTCCCTTTGATCTAAATGATTTTGCCAATGTGACTTTCATCTTTTCATCTCCTCGCTTTCTTTAATAAAAATGAAATATACTTATCCAAGTACCCTGGGTAATGTAGTTTCGAAACTATATATGATTATGGGGGGGGGGTCTATCTCCAAAACCCTAGGAGGAGTTCAATAACACACAGAGGCTACAATTTATATATTGGTCCCTGAAGAAGCATTAGCTAAAGGGTTGCCTAGGTCCAAAAAAAAAAAAAAAACATTCTGTTTATTTTTACCAGGTTGCAAGCAGTACTACTAAGTATAATGACATGAATAACAACTTGTGCAATTGTAGGAATCCAAATAATTGTCCACTACAGAATAATTGTTTGACTAGTTCTGTAGTTTATCTTAGTACAATCTCTACACTAGAGAACCCAAATATCAAAAAATTTTACATTGGTAGCACCATGAATTCATTCAAGGAATGTTGGCGGGGGCATATGCAATCTTTTAATAGCAGTAATTATAAGTACAAGACTTCATTATCCAAGTATTCTTGGAGTATAAAAGAAAAGAATAAAACACCTACTGTTAAATGGAAATTAATCAAAAGAGCCCGAACATGTAACTCCCTATATGCCCCTTGTTATCTATGTCTTAATGAAAAATTTGAAATAATTAGATTTAAAAATAAGATCCATCTCTTAAATCAAAGATATGAACTGTAAACACCACCATAAATTTAACTTACTATAGGGGTAATACTTTCAACGATAATGATATGTCACTGTAAGTTTAGTAGGTTATTACTTTTATTACCTGATGGTCCTCCTGTTGATGTGGGTGTGTGTTGGTGTACTGTGTTGTTCGTGTGTGTGTGGGGGGGTTTATAAAAAGAAAGAAGGTATAAAGGAAGAGAAAAAGAGAGGAGGGAAATATATATATATTATATTTCCAGGTGTGTATGTATATATTTCTATTTGTGTTTGCTTCTGTATGTATATATTTATGTGTATGTATATAGGGGTATATATATATAAAATGTGTGTGTATGTGCGTATGCCTTTGTATATGTATGTATATCTTGGTGTTGATGATACATTCCAAGACACTAACTAAAATCTACGTTTGTTTGATAATGTTTTATAATTGCTTGTAGACATAATAATCAACAATTGTCTCATTACATTTTAATATTGTATGGACTTTACTTTCCTTTATCGTCAATAAGATAATATTGTTAGAATATGTATAGGTTTATGTATGTATATGCCTATTTGTGTGTGTCTGTTTAAGACACATTTTTTGCGTTTGTATGTGTTTTTTTTTTTTATATATATATATATATATATATATATATATGGTTGTTTGTGTATGAGTGAATATATATGTATGTTTATTTCTCTGTGTATATATATATATATATATATATATATATATATATGGTTTGTTTACTTTTTTATGTTGGTGCGTGGGTTTATGCTTGCTTCTGTATGTGTATATATGCATATACGTATATATACATATGCATATGTGTGTATATATAGATGTATGTATGTTTGTAGGTAGGCTTTTCTGTGTTTCTGTCTGTAGTGAAGAATGTGTGTAGTTTTTATTTTTCTTTCACCTACTGTTATATTTTTGTACTTGTGTATGTGCACAAGTGTGTATATAGGTATATATGAAATATATTTTTATATATATTTGTGTGTTTGGAGTTTTCCTTTTTTTATATATTAGATCTTGTTATTTTTATGCGTATATATATCTATTCTTCTGTATGTCTGTTTTAATATCCTTTCTTTCCCTAATGTTTGTTTTTGTGTTCTGCACAAGTTCAATTGTATCTATTCTACCATTTTTATCTATGTATATTTGCCCGAATAAGTTATATTTTAATAAGTGGTTAGAATTCGTTTAATAACACTTTCGAACTTGAATATTTCTTGGTAGGTGTATTGGTATATCTTTGTCAGTGTGTATGGTCACTTGTGTGTACCTTTCATTGTGTATGTATGTTTTTTAAGAGTCGTGGAGATATTTCCTGTCTCGTCGCTTTTTTGTGTGTGTATATATCTAAATACATCTGCGTGTTTATGTATTATATTCTGAATTTGCAAGATGTCATCCTCCCCTGCCTCTGTTTATGCTTCAAATGTATCTATGTTGTCATGAAGCTCAGAGCAACATTTGATCTTAACGTTTATTCCAACTTAATTTCAATAAAAACAAAATAAATAGAATATGTTTTTTTTTTTCTTTTCCTCAGTAATTTTATAATTTTAAACTTAATATAGATAGAGGGTTACAGTGTGGTGTTGTATGAGCATAAGAAAGGGCAAGAAGTGAAGTTCTTTGGGGCAATGCAGGAAAGATAACTGTTTAACTCTAGTCTTGAAAAGGTCAAGATTTAATTGGTGAATAACATTTCAGTCAGACGTTAGAAGTATAGTGTGAAAGTAGACTTTAAAACTAACCGGAAACCCAATCTTAAACTGGAAACAAGGGATAAACCTCTACTCCTGTTCAGAAGACTGGCAAGAAGTGCAAACTGGACAAAAGGCAAACCTCTTTAAAAAAAAAAAAAAAAAATTTTTTTTTTTTTTAATTTTGGGCAATAGGTGGTCATGGCTTTCTGTACATTCAGTTTCTTTATTCCCAGTGAATTGCCATGATTTCATGGGATAGATATCGTTCTCCACAGCTTAGTATTCAGTTTTCCTTCTCTTAGACTGGTTGCCACCCAAGGTTAGAGAGTTCCTAACTGCAGAAAGACTAATTCATGAATTTCCCAAAGGCATATGTGTGAGAATTTCATTCACTTTAAAAAAGGACAAAAATTTTATTTTCTATAGCGAAGAAAACGGCGACTTACCTCGTCAGACCAAGCGACACGCGTCGTGTGTATTCTACGATGGAAAATGTGGCAAAAAAGAAAATTACTTACCAAAGAAAAGGGTACATATTCAGCATGACATGCTGAAGACGGAATATTTGAATTAAAAAACAAGTCCGTCACAGGAGTCTCTATGAAAGTATTTTGATATCAAATTACTGAACATCCTCTCCCAGCTGTCGATGAATGGAAATAATGTTCAAGCATTTGGTGTTCTCGAATTGGGGAGAAAAAGAAAAAGTCAGCTATTTTGGCTGCCATGTCTGTTGGAGAGTGAGTTATTTTTCTGACTGGTTACATGCATTGGGATTTGTGAAATAGTGCTTGCAAATCAAGTTTTCGGCATTTTCTTTCTGTCCCCGATGTTCAAGTCTGAACTTAGTGATTTAGTCTTTGTGACGTGGAAATAATCTGCGAGAAACATTTCCTTTGCAATCTCAGATCGCTTACGTTTTCCTCTGAAGATTTCTGCCACAAACAAAAGCAACTTTGGGCTTTCTTCTCTTATCAGCTGCTCTGATAACTTTTTTGCAAACATGGACCTTTGTGCTCATAAAAAAAAATCATGTTTCAAAATTCGAAAGGACATTTTTTTTTTTCCATTGGCCCCACTATTATTTTAGCTACATTCATTGCTTTGGCAATGTTTATTTACAAGATTTCCAAAAAAT